GTGTGTCAAATGAAGCACGAAGAACTGGAAAACAAGCAATCTCAATTCTTTATTTGTGGACCTGCTCCTTGGATGGTAGCAACAAGGAACAAGTTACAAAGTTTGGGGGTTGAGCATGAGCAAATCAATATGGAGCTCTTTGGAACTGGTAGTATCAATCAGGAGTGAGGGGACATATGATAAGTAATCAGATCCGGCGACAACAAGATAGAATGTAGAATTAGACAATTAACCACCTAGACTTTTCCTCTCTAAGATATCCTCCCCAAGAGTCCTGAAGACGACAGACAGCAGCGGGGTTTGAGGCCATATATACTTTAGACTTGGAAAACGACCTTTTGGACCTTGGACTCGTTGAACAGTTCGTAACCTCGAACTGCATCTAATAGAGGGAGAATGTTGTCGAATAGGAAGCTGTACTCAGTCAGTTCAAGTTAGGCTCCTTGCATCCTTGGCTCGAGAGTATACATACCTGAGAGAATCCTGTTCTTGTTTGAGAACTTCCATTGCCTCGGAAAAGATACTTCTCACTGGGCACCGTCCCATCTGCAGACGGACATTTTTGCTAGACTGAATTAGCTAAGGCTGAATAATAGGACATTAAATCTCACTTATAAGCGTCGCTGCCCGACCAAGGGATCTATTACCTGTTAATAATCCATCGATGTATAGAGTATCATGACACATACCTCTGCGTTATGGACTCCAATGCTGCTGATAGCACCAAATGAGCGAACCAAGTCAAATGCTGTTCGGAGGGCTGGCGAGAGACCGACCACTTCCACCACTATATCAGCGCCTCTGCCACCAGTAACAGACTTTACGCGCTCAATCATTTTATCCCTGCTCTCCATGAAGTTTAGAGGCTCGGCACCAAGTTTCGCGGCCTGATCAAGTCTGCTTTGAACACTATCCACAGCAAATAGATGCTTTGGCTTCAGCACTGCCGCAGCAACAGTGGCGCATAGTCCAACAGGACCACAGCCAATCACCGCAATAGTTGAATCTCGCAGATCCAGTTTCGGCATCATCTCAACTCCGCTCTGGACACCGAAATAACCAGTGGGGAAGATATCAGCCATCAGGATAAGGGCCTGGTCGTGGATTCCTTCGGGGGCCTTGATCACAGTACCCTCTGCGAATGGTACACGGACATATTCTGCCTGAGCTCCGTCGAGATTCGGAGAACCAAGGGCTTGGCTCTTGATACATCGTGCTGAGCCACCATTCTGACAGTAGTAGCACTCGCCGCTGTGCAATGTTAGTATTTACACTCGAAATTATCTCATTCCAAAAAGATAACAGCAGGAAACCTCACCAAGAAGCAGTAAATGGGGAGACGACTTTGTCTCCAATCTTCACGGTCTTGACCTCAGAGCCCAAAGCAACAACAGTACCTGTGAATTCGTGACCCATGATGAAATTCGGTTCTGTTGGTTCAACGCCTCGGTACAAGTGTAGCTCTCTGATATCTTGTCAGCCCTCTGTTTATGGGATGTTTTTGCCAGGGCTACACACGATCCACACAAAGCAGTCATGTTGACCTTTACAATGATGTCCTGAGCATCCTGGACTTGCAGTAGTTAGTTTAGTGTGATAAGAAAACACATTGAAGATTTCGTACTCTGAGGAACAGGCCTGTCTTTCACAGAGATCTTGTATGGGCCATCAAAAATGACAGCCTTCATCGTTTCTGAGATTGCCATCTTTGCAGGATAGGGGGAGATAATAGGCAATGACAAAAAGCCGTTATTTATTTGTTTATCAGGCGATAAATAAAGTGACAGTAATAAATGCTTTAAGTACCAAGTCGTTTTTAGATCTATTAAGTATGCCCATTGTTCTACTTTATGCCAATAATTATTTCTGCCGCGGCCGGAACTTCTAGATCTCCTAGGAAATCCCTTAACAATTTTGATCCAATTAGCAGCGCGTCTTGATAGTCATGTGAGCGGAACTGTCTCCCCCTGAAAATAGAAACGGAAAATATCGGAAGATGATTGGAGAGAGCCTAGTAAATCTCCATTATTCACGTGCCATTTCTGCTCTCTAAACCCCGCGGAACTTCCATTCTCCGCCATCAACCATGACCCAATCAACAAATCATTACTTTAATGACATCAGGAACTCAGACTCACCAAAGCCGTCGGGCTTGTGAGCCATGTCGGTAAGCTCAGTGCTATTGTGAAAAAAAAGAAAGTCAGCTGACATATAAATGTAGTCGCAAGAAGTCAAAGTGCACTGGAGAGCGACCCATCTGCTCATTTTGTCAGCGACTTCAGCTTCCGTGCAAGTATGCCGCACGGGGAAGCTCGTCGCAGGACAGTACCACCAAAGCCCAGAAAGTTCAGAAGTCAGGCCATTGCCCTCTATTTTCAGAACTCTTGCCTGACAAAAGTTGTAGGAAATCAACCAAAGACAGGGTCCAGGTTCTTGAGTCGCAAATAGCGTCCTTATCCGAATTACTTGGGTAAGCCGAAAAATCCCGAACCTATATGTCTATGAGTAATAACCAGTCGCATACCAGTTCGTGGACAAATGAAGAAGCTCAAGGTTCTGGACGTTCGCAGCCACTCCGTTCAACGACAAACCCTGATGGGAATCCATTCTTGACTGAGCAGGCTGATCCGAACGAGCAACAAACTGTCTCTTTCTCAGAAGCCCAGTACGACTCTTATTGTACTCATGGACTATAAGCTCAACTAAACTTGGTGTCAGATCTTACCCGCCAAAAGATGTATTGATTCACTTTCTACAAGTCTACAGTCAGAAAGTGCATCTTCAGCCTCTACCATTGTTTGACCTCCCCACCCTGGGAGAGAGACTCAATGACGCCCCTCAATATTTTCTCTATAGCTTCTTAGCCCTTATGCTCGAGTTCACTACTCATGAGTACTTTCGGAATAATCACGCGGAGGCATCGAGCTATTACAGCCGCTCGGCAGCCACTACCATACAGCGACTTGCTGCTGAAGGAAAGCATCACGTTGAGATTGTTCAAGCACTATGCATGATGGCACTGAGAGATATTGCAGGGAAGAGAAATGTAGTTTCCTCCGATGGATCTCACTAATTGGTCTATAGTGAGCGATTTGTCCAAGGCATGGATGTCCATTGGCACGGCGACACGACTGGAGAGTGTCCGCAATCTGTGGGACAGCAACTTAATACCCAATAATGAATCAACAGAGGAGAATAGATGCTACTGGAGTATTTATATCATTGAGGCAGTGTTTTTCCCTCACATGCCCAGGGCCCCAACACATGATCAGACTCGAAACTATCCTCCCAGTGTTGAGCCTCCGCTACCAATACCAATAGATGCGAACGATTTTAATGCACCAGACTTCGATAACGCCGTTGGTTCATCAGATGACCTAGGAATCAACACGCACGCGGGGAGAATGATAGCAGTCTGGAGTCAAGTCGCTTGCCATCTCCACGAGATTAGACGTGGGGAGGTCCAGGTACCCTGGCTGCCAGAGTCTACATACTCCAGGCTCAATCTTGCTCTGTTTGAGTACGAGGCTCAGTTTAACCAGAGACACCTGATGAGGAGCCTCTTCCCTTTTAAGAGATCTTCAGACGAGATTAAGGCATGCCCGGAGTATTGGAATCCATGGCTGACCACGCATTTAGTATTGCATGCGTCTCTCGCCTTATTGAACCACCCCTTCATCCACTTGGTGGCTTTACGCCGCAATAAAGGTATGAGCCAGTCCAGGCTGTTCTTACAGCAGGTCGTGGATCAAGCCCTCTTTCACTCTGGGTGGGTATTCTGGCTTGTTGGAATATTTGAAGATTTGAACATTGAGATGTACAATCCCCTCATTGGACTAGCTGTTGCAGCAACATCGACAATTCCCTGGCTCTACCAATTCGTGAAGAATGCCAAGGTTGCTTGCAAAGCCAGCCAGAATTTAGCCAAAGGACAGAGATTGCTACAGCGCCTGTCTAAGACGTGGCCATGCATGTCACAAAAAGTAAGCTCCCCCACTGCGAACCTGGTGTTTACTAACCGCAAGCACCAGCTCGAAAGCCTCCAACGACTCCAATCGCTTATCATTGGAAAGTCACCTGAAGCCGGTGCTGCAGATACCACGATTAACTTTCCACCGTCTATGATATGGGAACTTCTCGATCCGATCATTCACAGTATCAGACAATCCACAAACCGTTCTGTATCCACAGAGGGTCTCCCTTACGTCAGTATACACGTCACAACAGACTTCTTGCATCCTCTGGCGGATGACGAAGGTGATCAGGCGTTGGGTCACTTCAATTGGGAAGACAGTCTCATGTATGGGAACGACCTTTTGCAGGACAATTACCCAGCATCGCTTGTCCCCTTTGATTTCAATATCACATAGTCTCGCGTTGCAAGAATAGCTATTTTTGGTATCTCGCAGGCGACAATAGTGAATGGGAAACGCGGCAGTACCTGAATAATTGGCATCGGGAGACGGCATTTAACAGCTCCGATTAGTTTACCAGAACGGAATGTGCCGTGATCCAGACCAACGCTAATTGTAAACCCGCCCATCCCAATCACCTGTCATAATCACGCGACGATAGAGCTAGCGTAAGGTCAAAAAAGGTTTGACAAGCCTCGTGATTTGCGAAATGGCATGCAAAGTCTAAGAGCGAAAAGAGTTATTGCCGGTAGCCCGATTATGACAATTCACTTAGCTTATCTTGCAGCGCCATCTACTGTGACGTAGTCACGATCTTCTGGAGAGCGTCAAGTCGGCCCACTGTCAGAAGCTAATTGCATGTGATGGTCGGGTTGGGCTACCAAAACCTCGGGCACTAACAAATCACCAACGGACTTGTCAACGATCAGATCATATCATGAGAGAGAGTTTGCTTGCGTCACGCAAGATGGAAATGAAGATAAATTAAAAGAGTTGGCCATGGTCGGTGAAATTATTCTTGACATAACCACCACAAATAAACTTCACTTTATTCCAACATCTTCAACAACCAATTCACTCTTCGCTATGTATTACAGCAAAGGCAACTACGAAGCCTTTGCGCGACCAGTCAAGCCCGAAGGCATTGAGTCCAAAACGGCATGGATTGTCGGCTCTGGCCTCGCTGGTCTTTCAACTGCCGCATTCCTTGTGCGCGATGCTCAAATGCCAGGAGAGAACATCACCATCCTCGAAGAACTCAAGATCCCAGGCGGTGCCTTAGATGGCATCAGGGAACCCGAGAAAGGGTTCGTCATCCGCGGTGGTCGCGAGATGGAATCTCACTTCGAGTGCCTTTGGGATCTCTTCCGTTCTGTTCCCTCGATTGAGGAGAAGGGAGCTAGTGTTCTTGATGAGTTTTATTGGCTCAACAAGAGAGATCCGAACTTCTCGCTCCAGCGCGCCACGATCAAGCAAGGTCAAGATGCAGAGACTGGGAAGATGTTTACCCTGACCGAAAAGGCCCAGTCAGAGATGACGAGGCTTTTCCTTGCTACTAGAGCTGAAGTTGAAAACAAGCGTATTGACGAAGTCTTCAGCGAGGACTTCTTCAAGAGTAATTTTTGGCTCTACTGGCAGACCATGTTTGCTTTTCAGACCTGGCACTCTGCTTTGGAGATGAAGCTGTATCTTCATCGTTTTGTCAACCATATCAAAGGCATGCCTGACTTTTCGACCCTCAAATTCACAAAGTACAACCAATACGAGTCTCTGGTGCTGCCATTGCATAAGTGGCTTGAGGATCAGGGTGTTGTATTTCAGTATGGCACCGAGGTTCAAGATGTTGACTTCAACATTGAGGAGAACAAGAAGACTGCAACTTTCATTCATTGGATCAGAGACGGAGAGAACGGTGGTCAGTCCCTGGGAGTCAACGACCTCGTCTTCATGACTATTGGTTCGTTGACGGAGAACTCTGGCTTAGGTGATCAACATACCCCAGCTAAACTCCATGATGGTCCAGCTCCCGCCTGGGACTTGTGGCGTCGTATCGCAGCCAAAGACCCCTCTTTTGGCCGCCCTGAGGTTTTCTGCGACAACATCCCTGCGACAAAGTGGATGTCAGCGACTGTCACGACTTTAGACAAACGTGTGCCTGAGTATATCCAGAAGATCTGCAAGCGAGACCCTTTCAGCGGCAAAGTCGTAACTGGAGGTATTGTCACAGTCCGTGATTCTAGCTGGATCATGAGCTGGACGGTCAATCGCCAGCCTCACTTCAAGAACCAGCCCAAGGATCAGATTGTTGTTTGGGTCTACGGCTCACTTGTCGAGAAGAACGGCGACTACGTTAAGAAGCCTATGCAAGATTGCACTGGCGAGGAGATCACCCAGGAGTGGCTGTATCACATGGGAGTCCCAGAGAGCGACATCCCTGTTCTTGCGGCTGAAGGCGCCAAATGCGTTCCAGTAATGATGCCATATGTCACATCTTTCTTCATGCCAAGAAAGGCTGGGGATCGTCCCGACATTGTTCCAGCTGGAGCAGAGAACTTTGCCTTCCTGGGGCAGTTTTCTGAGACAACACGCGATACTATCTTTACTACAGAGTATTCTGTTCGTACGGCTATGGAGTCGGTATATCGACTTACTGGAGTGGATCGTGGTGTTCCAGAGGTATTTGGTTCGACTTACGATGTGAGAGTTTTGCTTGACGCGATGTGTCAGTTACGAGATGGTAAGGAATTGGTGACGTGGCTGCCAGAGCGTATTCGAAGGTTTCTTGTCAACAAGCTGGAAGGTTCACAGATTGGCCAATTGATGCATGAGTATCATCTTATTTAGTTGAGTGTTATCGTGTAGAGTATATGTATTTATAGAGTTAAATTTTCCTGTTATTGAATATGGACTCGCGGTTAAATGTCTCGACATCGTGTAGCGTTTTGGTTCAACCTCCGTGAAGAAACGGAGATGAGTCCCAGCCTAAAAGCAGCTGATAACCTAGTGCATTTATGGATCAAGAGCGGGCCTCAGGCCTCCGCCGTCCAGCGAGCTCTTATGGAAGGGATGCGTTCAAGGTCTTATGAGCTCTTCGTCACTGTAGACAGAGAAACAATCTCAACTCAGTGATGGCAGATAAATAGTTTTATCTGTGATTGACCAGCCCAACTCGCTAAGATGGATAAATAAGGTCATAGGACTACACACGGTCCAGGAATTGCGCTCTGCCTGCTACGATGTTCACTAAACAGGGTTCAGTCATAAGCCACAAGGCTTACCCTAATTCAGGGGACTGTGAGATAGAAGCATGCCAATTCCGCCAATGCCTTGAGTTTATTTTTAAGCTTATTCGTTGTTCCCACTCTAAGGCGTATTCGCGTCATGCGCTGTAAGCTGTAGGCAGATTAGGGACTTTGGTATGTGCTAAGAGGAGAGGCAGCTGAAAAGAAAGTCTTTGCCATTGTAGTTGCGGTCTGGACCCTGCGTAGACCACCAGCCGTCTTGGCATTTCAACTTGCCAAGACTTTACTGACTACCAAACAATTCATCACACATGATCATGAACACGAGAAAGTTATGTAAAATGTCAAGCGGCTGTCGCAAAGGGCCTAGCTCGACTATTGGGTGTAACGCCACCTAATCTCTGGCAGGTCGTATCGCTTAACGAATCCTCTTTTGAGCGACTTCCGCTCTCAAAGGGCTGAACGCTATCTGGAGACTATCGATCATGGTGGAGGCGCTACCTGCGCCACTGGGTTCAGCTTCATGCCCTGGCGGTGACCAGATTTGAGAAAGGTCTCGAATTACGCGAGGCACTTTCACTTATTTACAGGGTGCTCATCGCAGGCAACGAGGGTGAGACTGTGCTGCATTCCTGCAAAGTCCACTCAACGATGAAATTCGCACTTATTTTGGCTCCGCTGGTGCTGCTGAGTGATGTGGTTTTAGCGCAAAGCAGCTTAACCGATATCTGTACAGGCAGCGCCAATAATGGCTGTAAAACAATCATTACTGTACCAAACGGATTCAAGATTGTCAAGTCGAGCAAGAACGTTCGCTCTATTCAGTTCAACTACATCAAGGTCAACGTCTGCGATCAAATCCGCAAAGCCCTCGGCACAACACTCGGCAACAAATTCCTCAAAGCCCGGGATCCTATTTGTAATTGCTTCACTAAACTGCGCACTCTAAACTCTGAGGGCAAGTTTACGTCTTCCTCAGCTGGTAACTTTGACTTGGCGAATAACTACTATCTGGATCAGGCCGGGACCCTGGAGAAGGTATGGCTGCAAGGCGTTGCTTTGGAGTTTCTTTGCGCTGATCGAGTCTAGTGTTTGACGGATGGAGGTCTCAAATACTCACAAAGTCGTGATGCCACCTTGAACAAACTTAAGGCGACTGGTTGGCAAGTCGTCCTAGGAGCTGATGTACGTACCTGTTCGATACCACGCATGGCTTAACTAACATGTATCAGATGGCCCGTGGAACCTTTCGTGCCATGATCTCCGTCATCCATCCCTGCCGAGTCACAGGTGTCTGCAACTCTGAACAGATTTACGCTGTCTTCAGCAATTACCTTACCGCCTCGTACAAACTTCTCCTTGGGCCTATCATTCCCATACTCAACCGTTGGAGAGACAACCTAGACCTTATTACTAAGTCCACTGGCTACGTTATGACTGCTACGGACAATGTTAAAGAGGCCTTTAATGGGATTGAGTATATCCTCAGCGGCTACTACGACTCCATCTGCACTGGAATGGACTATTGCGGGAGCAATCGCCCAAATATTCGAAGGTTCATGACAGATGTGCAAACCGTCATCAATTTGTCCGACAAGCTCAGCACAGGCAGACAGATATTCAGCTTTAACACCAAGACGAAGAGTTTGTTAGATGATGTCAACAAGCTCAGGTCAAACTGGGCGTATATCCCTCCCGCGAATGAAATGATCAGCAGGATTCGGAACAACGAGATCAAAGTCACGAAGGACGTCTTCAAGTTTATGCCTGTCGTTGGTGGAATGTCAACTACCTCTAAGAAGGTAGCCACTGAGCTTGGCCCTTTGAAGTCGTTTGTCGCCGAATATCTGGCGGATTCTAAAGCACTCCACGAGCTCATCACCCGTATGCTGGCCATTGACTGGGAGAAGGTCAACCAGGGGGAGTTTGACAACACTGACCAGACTGGCTATTACGTACGCAATGGTCTCATCGCGATACAGGAAAACATGAAGAAAGAACTGGCCGAGGCAGTAAAGGTCTACTTCTGGCTCATTAGGGCAACCGACTCTCAGTTGAAGGACTTCACCCTAGCGAATGGTCGCTGGAAGACGGAGTATGGCACTGTGGCGTACCAGCGATGGAGCACTATTGATATAGACATGCCATGCACCAAGATAACCAGCACGACGGCCAAGAAGGATGGTCTGACGAAGACATCGAACAAATATCGGACCTACTGGAAGTGTCACTTTGGTCCTCACACATCTCAGTATCAGGCAGTTCATGTTCCGTACGTGAGGATGTATGAATGATCTGCAGACAGGGAGGGTTCCGAGATTCAAGGATGGCATTGCCCACGAGGTTACTCTGAGCTACTAGATAAAAAACACTGGTGGTATGATAGGTTCAACGACAACGTGTCGCTGAAAGTAGTGACATTACTTAATATATGTAGTTTATTAAAAACACAATTAACACCCAAAACTTGTGATAGAAAAGAACCCTTAGACTTTCGCTGTTAGCGATGTTGTGCTTTCTGTATGCCCAAAACTTTGTCCCCTCTTTGCAGTTTTTACCTGCTCCAGCTGAAACCCCTGCTCGTTATTTCCGTCTGCAAAGCTAGACCCGTTGGCATCGCTTTCGTCCAGAGGGCGGCACCCAGTCCTCAAACTAGCAATGACCTGCTTACACGCGGTTCGAGAGGTGTAATAGTAGATCAAGGCGTTCCAGAAGCCCTGCAGAGGGAGTACAAATGCGCTAAGATATCCCAACGGCACGGATGACTTGCCGTCTACAAGAACGTACAGACGGTTCGCGCTTGCGGGAATCCATGTGATAAGCATCGCTGTGAAAAATAGAAGGGCCGTCTTGGCATATGACATAGCTGCATCGTCACTCGGGCTGCGTCCTTTGCGATCTGATTGCTGCGATCTGATGTAGCTTTGGTCGGAACAATTCGCTACGGGCTGCGCGGGACCGGTGTAAATATCTGCTGAATGGACTGGCTCGGGTCTCGTTGCGGTTCCAAAAGCCTGGTCGAAGCCAGTCGGTGCAGAATCTGATGTTGAAATCGTGATTTTCGTAGTCTTGGAGATGACCATAGGATCTGCATTCTGCGGGACTTGGGACGAAATGTTCCGTTCGTACGAATTTGAGAAGCTATTCAGGCGTTTCTTCCATTTATAGATAGTAATCCCGGTCCGGACGTATATAGCAAAGGCGATAAAAATAATCAGCCTAGGATCGTGTGAGAACTGTTCAATGAGTACGGCCAAGGAATGTGTTACCATATCAGTCCATAAGTGGCCAGCTGCCAAGCATCCCACTCCACGGTAAGCCAACACCACAAGTTCGCATTCCCGTATGCCCGATGACCGTCTTTGTTCCTTACAAATATAAAGGTGATGCCTATAATGAACGGAATTCCATAACATAGACCAATGTGAAGTGGCTCTAATTTACGTAGCCTAACGCCGTCGAATCGATGGTAGAACGTGAGGTATACATTCGTCGCCATGGCTAGGGCCCAAAAGACATCTGCAAACATGAATCTAGCAAATAGTCAGCAAATGAGTAGTAGATCAGACCAGGGATGAACTTGCGTCTCGATTAGAAATGCTTGCGTTTGGCACCCGGCAGAATCTGGTTGATCGAGAAAGCTCTTGGACATGAGCGTAGCGACATTGCTCATCATGTTGCCAAAAGAGGCGTAAAAAAGCATCCGGCTGATTGGCTTATGAAACAGCTTCGAAGAACAGAAGGTGGCGATGATGAAGAGCGAACCAAGAAGGCTAGGTACTGAGCATGTTCGCTCTATAGCGCTAATGGCTGATGCTGCGGATGCGGTGACCATGGTGAATAGCTAATGAATCACCGACCTCGTGAGAAGTCATTGGTGTTGGCAGAAGGAGGTAAAGATACTTGTAGAGCTCCGTATAAGACTGTCTTTAATAACATAAATATGCAAGTAGAAAGGGGTACTAGGAAAGAGTGGTCCGGGGCTGGAGGAGGCAATCTTGCTTGTTTTGCATAAGATCAGCGCACCTATTGCTTTGCACGCGAGTAATGTTTTCAACGCGGCTAAACGGGTAAGAAGGCTGCAAAAAGATCTGCACATAAATCTCTACAGACAGGACTAGCACTCTGTAATAAGAGAGCTTGAGTGCACAGATTTATTTGCGACACGCCTGACAGGTCACGGTGATCTGCCACTACCCCTAACTAAATTCCTACAACAGAGGTCGATCATTGTTGATCATTGTCGATCATTCATTCTGCCCCACGGACCCTCTTAATTTACGTCCAGGCCAGCTGATAAGCCAATAAAATTAGATAACAAACACGTAATAGCTTCAGACTCTTGTTTTTCAGTCCAAGGATTTACGCGCAAAGCCGACTTATATACACTAGTACCTATAGGTAATGGAACCAATCTACAGTACTTCACTCTTTTTATTTAATTTACTATAAGCGTTTAATGTCTTTGAAAGAAAGAAATAATACTTACATTAACTAAACTAATTTATAGGTACCTCTATTATATAGCATTAGATAGGCATGTTACCTGACTCATCCCCTGAAAGATTCTGTAAGGGCGTAATGATAATGACTACGGTAAACTATTTCCGGGGCCCTTTGCTGCAATTTCCGTGGATTTTCGTAACTCGCCTTAAGGACCGAGCGTAGGCTCTAGCATGGTCTGGGAGCAAGTCATGATAAACTAGGACCTAGCGTGTATTATAAAAGGAAAGCATTATGCATGATAGGCCCAGTATGCGGGATTAATGGTCCATAAGCCCAATACCTTCCTTTTCCAATTTGGCGCCAGTAAAAGAATCGCCAGAGTCAGTCCAAGCCACAGAGTAGTCCTTAATATTAAATAAATTAAATACCTATAAATTAAATAATTATATTTAAGGTACGTAAGATATATAAGCTTATACTCAATCTTATAATAAATATAAATATAATGCCTAAAGTTATGACCTATCTAAACCTCTAAAGAAGACTAAAGCTAGTAATATCCCGGTGATGGCCAGTGTAAAGTTAAACCACTGTGCAGCTCTCAATCCGTCCAAGTATATATTCGATCCTTGTTCGTTATCGATATCCCTAGCAATAACAGTCTGTGTAGCCGTCGCAATTGCCAATCCCAAAGCACGGCCGACATTGTTCACCAAGAGATTGATCTTCTTGCGCTAGAGACTTGGCAGTAAGCAGACTAAACAGAGGCCACAAAATTTCAACGCTCATACAAAGACACATAGCAGGGAATCCCCATGCCCAATAAGTAGTAATTGGCGGAATTGATGGTATTGCGAAGAGGAATGGACATACAACGCTGATGAAAGGCCAACAACAAGTACAATAAAGTAAGGAAGGTGATTTAGTGCTGGAAACACGGCAAAGGATATGAGTACTGTCGTGATGAAACTAGAAAAGTGATAAGTACAGTTCAGCATAATAGTGTACTCACAGCCTGATATCCCGGCAGGAAGAAATCGAAGTGTCGTCTGCAACTCCCCCGGTCCTTGGTACTTCTGATAGCTTCACCAGGTTAGGAAGATGCACACAAGTGACATGATCCATGCAGGATACTCACAAATATGTGACAAACACAAGAAACCCATTGAACGACGCGTAGAAACAACCGACCAGCACAAATAGTGCAGAAAACTGTTTCTTCGCGAACATGGACATACGCATCAGAGGTATACGGTCTGAATCTATCTCCAACCGGCGCTGATAGAAGATGAAGCCCCCTAGAAGTGATACAGACACAACCAACAGCGGCGGTATCCAAGGCGTAGACCAACCGGAGACGTTTCCTTGCGTGATTGCAACAAGAAGCAATGTCAGGCTGGATGATATGAGACCTCCCCCGATCCAGTCGACATAGAGTTTCTTACTGCTCTCAGCATTCTCGGTTGTCCCTTGAGGAGCGATTCTCGTCGTATGACCAGCTGTGACAAACCAGCCAACAGCAGTTGTAAAGGCGGATGCAACAGCTGGTATCCAGAACACCCACTTCCAACCAAGAGTCGATCCTACAAAGCCACCTAGAAGGCTACCCACGACAGAACCCAATGATGCCATGGCAGACATTGCGATGAAAGCCATGTTTCTAGAAGAACCTGGTGCAAAGATCGAAGCCATAATACCAATTCCGGAGGGCATAATAGCCTCAGCTGACATTCCCTGCACGGCTCTCAATACGTAGAACGGTATTTCATAGCGAGTCCAAGGAACACATAGTGTTGATAAGGTAAATATGACTGATCCTGACAAGAAACCTAACCGTCGACCATATACGTCTGCTAAACGACCCCAAAGGAGCATAACGCTGCCGGTGGAGATGTTATAAATTGATACAACGAGTTGTTGGCGAGAAGAGGGCATTCGCATCGCATTTCCTAGGTTAGGGATGATGATAACGATGGACTGAGAGTTGAGAACCTGCCAATTCGTTAGTGGATGTATTTTTGGCCAGAAATGGTGCTTACGGTGAGAAGGGCCGCGATGGATATAACCGTTCCGAGAAGAAAAGCTCGGATTCTGGAGAGATGTGGATATTGATGGTCACCAGGACCTGAATTTTCTGGCGCTTGTGTCTGCGTCGGGCATGCATTGCTATGGCTAACGCCTCGCGCTGGTATAGTCACTGCAAGCTCCAAGTCCGCAATGGGGGATTGCTCGATCTTCATCACCAGGCCCCGAAAACGAGTGTTTGGTGTTCAGTAGTCAAGTCAAGAAAATAGCAGTAATATTTTCTTTACTGGTGAATTTTGAACTGAACATGGACGAATGGTCAGTTCCCCCACTTTGATAACCCATGGCCAAGGATCGCATCATCAGTCCTCTCAGCACGTCAGAGCGGTCCTCATGTCACATCATATGCACACTGTTCTTTAGGATGAGATTTTCGATTGTTGGGTGTCTGAATGTGCAGGGTGAGCCTAGCCCTGCTTTCTTCGCCATTGGCTTGGCAAATATCTTCCAGGATGTTCGTTAGGGTTATTTGTTTTGGTGTGAACTTTCTCTCAAATATATTGACGCAATTAAAGTATTTGGCTTATTGTGATAATCAGGGGGACGATTGCCAATATGGTTGTCCGAACAAAGCTGTGAGGTAGTTCCTGAGGCATGATCGAATCTCCGAGTAGCCCATTGAGGTGAGCGATATTGGCCCTTTGCGGTTTAATGAAGGCCAAGAGTCAGTAAATATTTCTTTTATCTTAATTACGACATTCAGAACCTTATGGCTTGCAGAAAATGCAGTAGTAGACAAGTTGGGTTCCGTGGCCAAATAGTAGTTTCGTGGATATACGGCAGGCCCAAGAAACCCTGAAGTAGCCTATTCAGGCCAACTTGATGCAGAAAAATAAATATCACAGCTTGATGCACAAGGTTCACTAAAGGGACTGAACTTACTACCGAACCCTCCTTCAGGAGGGGGACCAGCTTTATAAGACTTAGTCGAGCCTATAATGGCTACACAAATCAGGTCACATTAATAGTTTTTCATAGCCGTCTCGAAATGTTCTTATAGTTGTAATCTATTCCCTAATATCTTATAATGGCTCTAGTGTCAAGTTTAGGTTATAATACATCGATTTGACTTCTTATAGGTCACTAATGACAACAATATAGTATAACTTCTGAGAAGATGGTGATGGTTGTTACTTTTATTAATATGTTGTATAAATGCGATACAGCGTGGTCCTTCATCAAGCAGAAGATGTTGTCGTAGCTTGGCTGGGAGCAGCCGTTGCTGTTTGCGACGCAGTTGCACTGCCACTGGGCTCATCATCGTCTCCGGAACCACTACCGCCACCTTTGACAACCATGGCCTGAACAATTTGACCAGCTTTGTTAAATACAATGTTTACAAGAGCACTGAGCTCCTTGTACTCATATGTCCTCTGCGTGAGTCCATTTTGCAAAGTCTTCTCATCGCCAGTGAAGGTCATATTTTGCTTGTAGTTTCCGATAATCGAGCTGACAACATCGCTGCCCGTTTTTGTGACTTCTTGCACGATGTTTCCAAGGTTGTCAATGAGGAAATTGAGTTTCGTGTCGCCCTGGGTGATAGATCCAAGTAGACCATCCGTAGCGCCGATGACGCCTTCGACAATGTCGCCGACGGAGTCGAGCAAATTGATGAGAGCCGGGTTCAGATCGAGAGAAGCCAGAGTGCGGTTGACAATCTCGACCAAATGGCCCAAGCGAACGACGAGCTCAAGTTCAGCCTCTACATCCGCAATTGTGATGTTGACTTTGTCAATGCCGACTTGGATGCCGGCGTTGATCTGAACAAGCTTCGCAATATCAGCGTTGAGGTTGATGTCCGCATGCAGATTGTCGACGTCTAGCTCAATGCGGCCAACAGAGAGTTCTGGGACTTTGAGATGAACGTCGGGAGGACCAAGTGAGGAGTTACTTGACCCCCCTCCTCCTCCAGGCGCAGATGTCGGCTGACCCGTGCTGTCGCTGGTGGCATCCTCACTACCAGATGGTGAGGCTGTCGGGGGAATGGCGATGCTCTCTGCAGTTGTAGCTGGGTCTGTTGAGTCTGGTGTTTGGGCAATGCCCAGGCTGAAAAGGTGAGCCAGAATCAAAGGCTTAAAAATGGTGAGACGCATGTTGAAGTTTGGGAGGAATCTGTTTGGAAGGAGGTGATGATGTTCGATGCGCTATCACTCGAGACAATTATGGTATGTCGAGACATTTCTTGCTCATCGTCCACCGCCAGGTCTTTGATCATTTACCCCATGGCATAAAGTGGATCTTTGTCACACGGCCCTTGGAACCAGCGCAATTTCCCATTCCATCATAAGCGTTCGGCTCTATGAGCTTTTTGGGATGGTTATATCGCGGGTCTTATCCGCCCTTTAAGTTACAGGCAATAAGGAAACAGGATTTTCGGAACTGGAATGAAATTACTGATATGCTTTACGGGGTAATCGATCGAGATTGAGTTCATGCATTGACGCAGTGACAGGGGTCTGTCGGAAATACAGCCCTCTCAGGCCCAAGCAAGGCTTCTAATACGCCCATCACGGCTCCACTCATTGTGATTTCCCCTGCATCAATGAAACCTCGGAGGCTGGAGATCAGGGCCGGAACTTTCCTACCGGAGTTGATGCTGTTTCAAGTTCGCCTACCGTTGAATCTGGGTTATCCAACCAAGTTAGATTGAGTCTTATTCCACCGCTTTCAGCAAGGATACTTGGTAATTATTACAAGCTTGGTTGGGATGCTCTGTGAAGGAGGGTCGCTTGTGTTTGTTCTTCTATTCTACGACTTGCGCCCTTTCTGAAGGGCATCCCATTTTAGCTTGCGCAGCTGTCTCCTTCATTCTCACACTCCTTTTACCAAGAGCAAACTCAACCTCACAATGAAGCATCATTCACTATTCGGCGCTTTGGCTCTGGCCTCGTTTGTAAGCTTTGCTACCGCGAAAGCTAAAGGCGACGGCTACTATGGCTATCGCCTGAACCGTCGAGGCGACGATGAGTCCGCCATCTACGAGACTGAAAATACCAATAGCGGCATTGCACCTCTCAATGAGGAACCAGATGTATACCTCAACGCCAATGTCTCAGTGGGCGAGATCTCCATTGAGGTGCAGAACATTACGGCCAAAATCAACCTAGACGCAAAAGTCCTCAATCTACTGAATTTCAACGCCGGTGTCGATCTCGGGATTGATCGTGTCAAGCTCGGCATTTACAACGTCACAGCCAAGGTCGAGCTTGAGGCCCGTCTCGGTAATATCCTTCGTATGGTCGATGATGTTCTTGAGAGTATCGACCTGAACCCCATCATTGCAACCCTTGGAGATACTGTCAAGGACATTGTGGATGATGTTGGCGATGTCGTTGGCGGAAGCAGTGGAGGCAATGAATCTGGCGAAGATGCTGAGGCGTTGGAGAAGAGAGATCTCACTGCGCGTTTTGAGAATAATATTCTCTACTCCGTCAACGACTTCTCAGGGTCGACAAACAGGAACCGCGTCTTGACACAAGATGGCTTCCTATACGATATCTATCTGAACAACAACGGAGTTGAGAGGCGTCGTGAGGAAGTTGGGTTCTACAACAAGGACATGAAGTTCACTGGCCACAATAAGACAATCACTGGTGATGAAGGGGTGGAGTACGAGCTGCAGTACACGTACGCACCGTATCATGGGCTCAGTGCTTATTGTAACATATATACCGATCAGAGTGGAAAGGTGTTGAGAACAAAGATTGTCGCTGAGGCGGAGGGTGGAGGTGCTGCGACTATTGTGAATAAGGAGGAGGAGATTTAATTATAGTTATTTGGAGTAGTTTCAACTTTGCTGCTATATCAAGTTAAACTATAACGCAAGTCTGCCCGTCATGTGCCTCACAAATCTTGTGTTTATAAATGCCATCATTTTGTAGGACGAGGTGTAAAGACAAGGTGAAGGTTCGGGGTGGCCAGTGTGAACGTATCCATCTTGGACTTCAAAAAGCCCTCTTTAGTCTGGCCCTGACCAAGTCTCACATCGAATGCCCTTATAATATGTGCTATAACATATCTCACTTCCATCAAACCAAGCTGCTTCCCGACACAAGAATATCGACCTTCTTAGAGTCAGCATAAGTTCAGATGGATGGCAGACTTAATATTACCAATTGAGAAGGGTGCGTAGACTGTCTTATCTTTGGTCAACTCAGGTGATGTTGTCCAACGCTCTGGGATGAACTCTGATGGTCGTGCGAAATTGCGTTCATCTATTCAACATGGTTAGCTGCTTATGTACAGTGAGGTAGACGGAGAATAACCTACCCCGTTGAATTGTATGCATGGGAACCTGAACAATGGTATTGCCTGGTATGAAGGTGTCCCCCACCATCAGTCCCTGCGGAGGAGTGACTCTCTGCAAACCTGAGGGGACAGGCGGGTGCAAGCGAAGGGACTCGTCGATGACGGCATTCAAGTGGATGAGGTTGGAGAGTGATGTATGATCTGCGTGTTCTCTGTCCATAAAGTACTGGTCAATCTCTTCTCTCAGCTTGATGATTTGAGAGGGATTGGTCGCCAGCTCGAAGAGAAGACCAGTCAAAGTCGCAGCGGTCGTGTCACTGTAGTCTAGTAAGTCTCAAAGCGAATCTGGTGCCCAGAAATAACACCGAGTACATACCTTCCAGCAACTGCGATTAAATAGGCTTCGGCTTCAACATTGAGCTTTGCTTGGTGTGTCTTTGGATTGCGCTCGTACTCCTCGAGGATCCAAGCAAAGACATCGGGATTATCAGGCTTCATCTACTCGTCGTCTGTGTTAGTCCAGTCACCAGGTTGCTCAGAGAAAGAGGCGTACCTTTGATCGTTCCTCAACTTGACCTGAAATCCACGCCCAGAACTGTCGGTCCTCGGTATTGACGGCAGGGATGAGTTTCAGGATGGGGATAACCCATGAAATGTGGGCAAGAGCACCAACCATCTTCATTGAGCCATGCAGCGAACTCAGGAAGTAATGATTGACACCGTCACGTAACATGTTGAAGGACTTGCCAAAAGCAAGATCACCCATAACGTCGAAGCTGTAAAAGTTCAACCAGTCCGAGGCGTTGATAGTCGTGCCTTGCATCTCATTGAGACGATCGAGTAATTGTGTAGTATACTTTGTGACGCGAGGTTCGTAGTCACGTAGTGCTTTATGCTTGTTAGCTGGTGAATAGATGGGTATGCGAAAAGAGTAGCTCTTACATTTAGAGCTTAGGGCTCTGTCCCAGGTCTTTCGCCTAGTGCTGTGCTCCTTGTGGTCGCGAATCATGTGTAACGAGATACGAGGGTTGAGAATATTGTAGAACGGGCCTTTGGTGCATGGGGATTTGGCAGAGTAGATAGCATCGACCGCCTTTGGGTGTGTAATGGAGAGTTGTGTTGGTCCTAGAGGCGAAGATTTAGTTTGAGATTGGAAGCTGGAGGGGGAGATACTAACCCAATCTAACGAAATCACCGTATTGGTGATGGAGTTGCTCGACCTCTTCATACAGATGCGTGTTCTTGGTAGTGAGGTAGGTCGGATAGAAGTTTGAGACTCGAGCGAAAAGTGGCCCAGGGAACTTGTTCAAGGGATGGAAGACGACGCGATAAGAAAGGATGCTGGTTATAAGCCCGAGTATGTGAGCGCCTTCGAGCAAAAGGACGGATGAAGCCGAAAGATTGTTGCCATGCTGCCATCCTTTGAATTCAGCCAAGCGTAACAACCCAATAACAATGATGGGTAATGTAGCATAGGCCTGCAGGATTCGGAGCACAACGGTGTCCCATTCTCCCCTACGGTAGAAGAGAATGTGTAAGAGACAGCCACTGGCAAACGAGACCGCAAGGGCCTCGGGGCTTTTGGGCTCAACCATCATGACGTGGTCCATGTTGATAAAACAATGTGATGGGAATTGCGATTTGAAAGGAACGTAAGAGAAGGTTGATCCGGTCAATGCATGTGAAGGGGCCGTGGAGGACCATTTAAGACGAGGATCTCATACCCGTAGTGGTTATACAAGGGCTGGATCAGGTGAGCCAAGCCAAAGGTTGTTTTGTGGCATGAAATTCGGCCTCGGTAACTTCATTCGTTGCACTAAACTTGCTAAGGGGAAACAAACTGAGGATCGCAACGCGGGGTCATCCTAAAGGGCATAGCAGAAAGATTAGCGCGTTATGGAGAATTGCGGGGAATCTGGGGAAGACGGGACTGGATGCACTGGTGACGGTGCTCTGATATGTAAAATCAATTCGTGAGTGGTTCAATTTGTGCCGTTAACCGTGGGCCGTAAATAGTGTCTCACTAACGTGGCTTAGACCGAGCTGCCGCATGCACCCAACAACTCGCAAGTGAGCACTGGCAATGATACGCAACCAGCTTGTTCGTTTTGGGATACCTGGTCCCAGGCCACTGATGTTTTCAGCCTCTGAGAGAAGGGAAGCCGTAAAAGGTACTCTGAAGCTGAGTTGCAAGACTATCAGGTCGGAGTGGTTTGTCATACACAACATTATTCTAGGTGATGAAACTAAGATTTGGATCTGATTCATTTTGTAGCTGCCTGTACAGTGCGTCTACTTGCTCTTCTTGATAAAATATGTCTTGGAGTTGCAATATCCTCGCAGCCCATCAACACCCCATTCACGTCCTAAGCCACTGTTCTTGTGACCTCCGAATGTAGCTTTGGGTTCAATAGCTAGATGCTCGTTGAACCAAACACTGCCGACATCAAGTCCATCAGCAATACGCATCGCAAGCTCTTCATCAGCCGTCCAAACTGAACCTCCCAAGCCCATGTCGCTTGAGTTGACACGGGACAAGACCTCGTCTACCCCAGACCACTTCAGTAAAGGCACTACTGGCCCAAAGGGTTCTTCGGTCACGATCTTGCTATCATCTGGCGGGTTATCCACAACGGTAGGTTGGATGAAGTACCCTTTCTGCAGACCCTCTGACATGTCTCCGCCCTTCAAGACAGCGAAATCATTTTTTGCTATGTCATCGAGGTGCACCTTGACACGCTGAAATTGGAGTTCATTCTGGACTGGTCCCATGAAGATGCCATCTGCAAACCCGTCGCCAACTTTGAGCTGTGATACATGCTTGATGAACGAGGCCTTGAAAGCGTCATATATGTCTTTATGGACATAAATCCGCTTGACAGCAATGCAGATCTGACCCGCGTTCATAAATGCGGCCACTGCAATTTGTGAAGCGGCGTTCTCTATGTCTGCATCTGCACAGATAATCGCAGCATCGTTGCCTCCCCTGTCTCATGTAAGTCGGGGTGTACTGGGAAGGGGGATGCAGGCCTTGTATACTTACAGCTCTAAAGTAACCCTGGTCAAATTCTTGCTTGCGCTCTCCATGACCCTCTTGCCCGTGGCTGTGGAGCCAGTAAAGCTGATTTTATCAATGCCTGGGTGGGCTGTCAACATGGGGCCTAGATCATCGCCTCCGCTCAAGACCTGCACAACGCCAGGTGGGAAGAATCGCTGTGCAAGCTCGACTATTTTGATGCCACAGTAGGGTGTGAAGGGAGAGGGCTTGACAATAATACAGTTGCCTGCCATCAGTGCTGGACCAAGCTTTCCGCACAGAAGCATGATGGGATCTTCAACAACCAGTTAGCTCAGAGCTTGCAGACGAGATATCGAGACATACAATTCCACGGGACTATCGCGGCAACTACTCCCAGGGGGACATAACGAGTCGAGATGCGTCTCTCTGGATCGTCATCTACCTCGTCCACGGGCATATCAAGCTCACACGTCCCAGTGAGCCAGTGAACTCCACGGCCGATCTCATGGTCGGCAAACATAGCCTATAGCCAACATATGAGTCTCTCGAGGTGAACAGTCTAATAAGCGTCTTAGACTTACAGGCTTTCCCTGCTCCGCTATAAGCAGACGCGCGAATTCTGCTTTCTCTGCCGCGAGCGCATCTGCCAAGCCCTTGATCTTCTCTTTTCGAACCTCAATAGGCGTCGTTTTCCAACTTTCGAATGCAGAGCGGGCTGCTTGTATAGCATCCTCAACGTCTGTTTGGGTTGACACAGGACAGTCTGGCAACGCCTCGCATGTTGAAGGGTTGATGCCATGACGTGTGGCGGCAGTACCTCTGGTTTGGCCATTGATGATGTTGGAAAAGGTTGAGAAATCCATGTTCTCCGTATAAGTAGTGACAGCCATTCTGGCTTCCTGTAATTGGTGGATGTGACAGCTTGAGGTGTGTCTCCTACTCAAAGAACTGCTTTTGGAAGATTGGTATCAGACTGTTTATGTTATATGCACATCACTTCTGCCTTGAGGCTTGATATAAGATGTCTTTACACGTGCAAAGATTTGCCAAGGTATTTACCCCGCGTTTCACATCCACAATGAGTTAGTTGCATGCTATCACGAGGCTAGAATATTTGGGCCGGTTGGCTTGTTATTTCTGCCGAGGGTTTTTCGCATCGGCTGAAGGTAATCTTGGGGATAGAATGTTTTGCTAGCTCTATTTAGGCTAGTCATGTTGTGGGGTATTTGTTCAATAAATCATCATGTGTACCTGCTCACAGTGATCAACATCGGATTCAAGCTTAAACATATCATTATAACAATTATGAACACCAAGTTTATTGCAGCGTACAAGCCTCGAGGCACTACGCCAGACTTGAGACTGGTAAATGGCTCTGTACGGGCAATTCGATCCAGTGAACTGCTTATCCGAGTTGTCGCTACTGGCATTTGTCACACTGACCTCATCTTTGCCACTTGGCCGGCCGACCAGATCCCATATCCAAAGGTACTAGGACATGAGGGTCAGTTTTACTTCTTCCTTGTCTTTAGCGCCATGATCACTGAAGTTGGGGTTTAGGTGCTGGTGTTGTGGTGGAAGCAGGGACTGAGGTTACCAAAGCCCGCCCAGGTGACTTTGTCCTTCTCTCATTTCACAATTGCAAAGACTGCCATGACTGCAAAGAAGGTCATCCGTCCTTTTGTAGCAAGTTCGTGGAAATCAATTATGGCGGTGAGGGTGCAACATATACAACAGAGGGCACCGACTTGCGTGGCAACTTTTTCGGTCAGTCGTCGTTTGCTGAACTGGCAGTTGTAAAGGAAACATCCGTTGTGAATGTGACCAACATCATCAAGACTGAAGAGGAGTTGAAGTTATTCGCGCCAATGGGTTGTGGATTCCAGACGGGTGCGGCGACGGTTGAAAACGTTGCCAGAGCGAATGAAAAAGACAGAGTCGCAGTTATAGGCCTTGGTGGTGTCGGATTGGTCTCCATAATGGTAAGAAACTATGTTGAACAGCATGAAGAACAAGCTGATATCTTCCAGACAGCGAAGATGCAGGCCTGCCAGACTATCATCGGCATTGATCGTGTACCAGAAAGACTAGAGTTAGCCAAAGCTCTTGGAGCCACTCATGTCATCAACACGTCCGATGAGAACATTGACATGCAAGAGGAAATAAAAAAGGTCACTGATGGAAGAGGTTCTAGCATAACGATTGACACAACCGGGAACATGGGTCTCATCAAAGCAGGTCTAGAGGCTACTTCCAACAGAGGTCAACTGATCTTTATTGGAGTACCACCACTCGATGCCACGATGGATCTTCATCTGGTCACATTTATGCAGGTATGGCCTGCATACGATTCTTTATCTTTACAAAGCTAATCCAGGTCAGACCGGGAAAGTCATTCGAGGAACCATCGAAGGTGATGCCATCCCTGATGAGGTATGAGCTTAATCATTGCAGACAGCAGTCCAAGCTCTGACGTGCATATAGTATCTACCCCGAATGGTACAGTGGTATCGGGAAGGCAAGCTACCAATCAATAAGCTGATTCGCTTTTATAAGGTATGTCCCTCAATTATTGGTAGGGAGTCTGCACTGACAATTTTGTATAGCCAGAAGATTTTGAGACTGCTTTAAATGACATGAAAAACGGGAAAACAGTGAAGCCAGTTATTGTCTGGTAGTTGTGATTTCAATGCGCCTATTGGTTATCTTGTATCTACTATTACTTTCTCAAGTTGCAGGTATGGTTACATTTCGAGATGTAACTCTGATGGAATGCTCAACATAGTCAGTTTTTGTCGGGCTCTCTACTGCTACGAACGCATGAATTGATTGGTTGGAATTGACCCTCGGTAAAAAATGCGCGGTTGTCAAGTGTGGTGGCTGATGTAAATCTTGTTTTGGCACATTGACTTACTTCATTAGGACGTAGCGTTGGTTGACAAAACATGGCCGAGTCAGAGCGCATGGACTCTGAGTCAATAGAGTCGAGTCAACCCTGCCAATTACTGCATTCAATAGAGTAAAATGCTTCGTACCTTGACTGATGTTTCCACTTCCCCGCGTTTTACCCCGCGTTCAGATCCTCTTCTCTCTGTTGCCATCAGTTAGTTCCGAAAGGGAGATCTTGCGTCTTGCATCTCAACTAATGGCCCAAAATACATCATCATCTTTATCAAAACGATATCCAGAGTCCACAATGGAGGAGGCAATGTCTCATGGCGCGAATCCTCGACGTAAGCGAGCCAGCAAAGCCTGTGTAGCTTGTCGCTCTCGCAAAGTCCGATGCGATGTCACCCATAGACCGCATCAGTGCACAAATTGTGCCCTGGATAACATCCAATGTGTTGTGAAAGACAGACGCACCAAATAGTAGGCTCTCTGGGCAGCCAAAATCAGCTCAAGCTAACATGAGCAAGTCGAAAACGATCTCCTGTCGTTCTCGAAAAGCAGCAGCGGACACAATTCAGACACAGCTTACAGATAATCTTACCAAAGGACCCAAGCTCTGCTGCGTCGGATGACATGGACTCCCCAAACGATCCATGTCTAGAGCCAGGCCGCTCAGTGGAATGTGGCCCTGAAAGCCCGTCCATGTGCTTCGAGGCTCTTTGGGATCAACCTGAAATAGATTTCCCTGCTGAACGACTGATTCAAGGTGCAACCGAACATCGTGACAAGGAACCTGAAGTCTTTGACATGGTTCTAAACCAGCGCAAAGATTCTGACTTTACGATTGTCTCGGACAACTCTCGGGCTCCTCAAGCAGAGCCAAAGCCAGCCCCAAGCTCCGAGGCAACGATCTCTGGCCAATCACATATTATATACTCATACTACTCCTTCCTTGACCTCGATATCTCTGGTTTATTGCCTGATGATATAAACTACCTCGAAGCCCAAGGCTGTTTTCGAGTCCCCACTCCGGAAGCCTTGGATGAGTTTGTTCAAGAGTACTTTTTACATGTTCACCCAGCGCTTCCGTTGTTGGATGAAGCCTGGTTCTGGGCCATCTATTCAAGATCTGCACGGGGCAGATCAAATCTATCTCTTTTCGTTTTCCAAGCCATGCTATTTACTGCATGTAGTGTATGTCACGAGCTCTTGGTACATCTTGAAACAGAATTTGCTGACTTTTTAGTTCCTACCATTTTCAACCATCAAAAGTCTTGGATTTGCTTCAGTACATAATGCAAGGAACACATACTACCGTCGCAGCAAGGTAAGTTCACTATGGTCGGCGAGTCGTGCTGGTAGGTGAATCATGACTGACCTGAATTGCAGCTCTTGTTTGATCTTTGCAGTGAGAGGAACCTTGTGTCCAGTGCGCAGGGGGCGCTTTTGCTATCTTACAATGGAACAATGAAGGACCAAAAACGTACCAATTCAATCTGGCTCTCAACTGCAATCCACTTAGCTCAGGCCGCAGGTGCAGATCAATTCCATACCAGCCTAAATCCGAGTTTGACATCGGTAAATGAGCTGAAACGACTGTGGTGGTGCTGTATAGTACGGGACCGAATACTGCCTCTTGGGATGCGACGACAACTACACATTACATCACTGGATGTGGCTCACATCAACTACTTGCCTACCGAGAAAGACTTTTGGCGAGAGATTGACGGGTCTCAGGTCTACGCACCACAAACCAAACGAACGCTAGTCCGGTTATTCATCACGCTGTGTGAGCTGACTGTTCCGCTCACTGATGTCATCAAGATCGTTTATCCTACAGGCCGCTTGACTGATATCCATTCCCCAGTTGTTCATGATGCCCAAAAGGGACGGGATTCACTGGAGTCCTGCGAGGCTGGCTTGGAAGCTTGGTTCGAAAGGGCAACCATCCAGTTTCCGACGCCTGCCGGTATCATCACTCGCGAGGGGTCTCTTGTGTTATACACAAACTTACTCTATATATACTATTAGTAAGTATCACCGCTCAAGTATAGTCATATATTTGGTATCTAACTGCCCAAAAGCGCTGCTTGCTTCGCACTTCATCAGCACAAGGCCTTTATTATCAGCCAGGAACAGACCAAAGCGACTTCAGATCTGCAACAGACTAAGAGCAAAATCGAGGATGCTGCCCTTGGCATCACAGAGAACCTGAAAGAGCTTATCCAACTGAGGTTAGAAAGGTTCTTGCCAATTAGCATGTCAGTTAATGCCTGATTTATTATTTGCTATTGCTGATAATCTGTTTCTAGCACTGCATATATCGCTGTTCCTCTGGTGCTACATATCCTTGATGTAAGACTTGCAAAAAGGCCACTACAAATAGCCCAGAAGCAAGGGAAGCTTAATGTTTATGTTGAGACTATGAAGACTATGCAGAAACTCTATGATGGAGTTGATGATGTTTGGACTTTTATCAGAACAGCAATGGATTATGCCACGATACAGGACGCAGAGAATGAAACAAGTTCACTGAATGGTTCCTGCATTGACGCTATTGGAGGTCTGGGATCGAAATCTCAACTGACAAAAGACAACGATTATGCCAACGACTGGGGTAATGTCCTCGTCATGGAACCTGTTCTATACTTCCGGCTTTCTCGAACCATCGACCACTCATTAGCTCTCGGGCGATACTCCGAGGACTCTACACTTGGCCTCGCTGCACCTCATGCGCGTCTACCTTCTCCTAGGCTCTTTACTATCGACATAGGTTCCCCCGAGCAAACTGTCGATGACACCGCTTGCGAGCACTACGAGGCGCCAACAGATGATGCTAAATCACCTGAGGCTGGCCAAGATCAGTTTTCACTAGGACCTCAAATGCTGGATGATATGCATGAGTTTGTTACTTATGACTTTGGAATGGACGATATGCAGGCTCCGATAGACTTTAACAGGTCTGAGCGATAGGCTGGAGAAACTGATAGCTTGATTCTATATTTAATCTCAATCTAATACTTAAGGCTTCTTTCTATAAATAGCTTATATCCTCGTATTCTTTAAGCACTAACACCAGTGCAGTAAAGATCTCCAAGCTTCATTTTGTTCTAGGTTACCTGATTTGCTCTGAAAGTGCCAATGTGGATAAGACAAAGCCGGCTAACTTCCCTAAAATGGATTCGTTTCGGCATTGCCGCATGCCGCACAGGGTAGTATATTAATACCTTGAAATAAATATAAGAGCATGCATGTCATGCCAGACTTAGCAAATAAATCACAGTTCCTTTATACCTAAGTTTGTTTCGAAGATGAAACGTCTTTCATTTCTATTATGTACTATTTCCTCCTTGGCATTCGCTATTGCAGCACCAAGCCAGTATGCAGCGCCCCCTCAAGTACAAACCAGAGTTGAGTGGCGGAAATTATCAAAATCATCACAAGCAGAATACATCGATGCTGTAAAATGTCTCGATAAGCTACCCTCAAAGCTTGGTTTAACCACATCTCGCTACAACGACTTCCCTTATGTTCACAGAACACTCAACATCCAGAGTGAGTTTAACCTCCACCTGCTCCATCTTAAACTGATGTTGACCTTACTTAGTCCACTTTGTGGCCCAATTTCTACCCTGGCATCGATACTTTGTCCATCTTTATGAGACCTCTTTGCGAGATGAATGCGGCTATCGCGGCTCTATGCCCTACTGGGACTGGACAATTGACTCAAAGGATATGTCTAAAAGCCCAATATTTTCAAAAGATAAGATTCGTGGTTTCGGCGGCAACGGTGTCGGAGGAGGCTTTGTGAATCCAGGGCGACCAAACCCCTTAACGATGTGCGTCCTAGATGGAGCGTTCAACAACTTCACTGTCCAATACTACGATCAAACATCGAGGCCACACTGCTTGAATCGCGGTTTCAACGATGGCTTGACATCGGCCGGAAAGTTCCAAGGAGATTCTTACTCGCCACAAGCGGTTTCAAAGATAATAAGCGACTCTAAGAATTTTACTAAATTTACCAGGGATCTTGAGAATGGACCACACGGCGCTATTCATCAAGCCATAGGCGGGGACATGGTGCCATCAACATCACCAAACGGTAAGTTTCAAGCAGTAGAGATTTCCTCATCTTTTCCTATAGCTGATGTACCATTTCGCAGATCCTGTCTTCTTTCTTCATCATGCACAGATTGATCGGTTGTGGTGGGTTTGGCAGCAGCAAAACCCAAAGAAGCGCAACTCTGACTTCTCTGGCATACGCATCCTTGCCTCTGGGGTAACCGATAAGAAACTATCAAGCTTAAAGGATAAGATGCCAATGCTCGGATTAGGCCCAGACAGACAAGTTTCTGAACTAATGACAACAACGTCAAACTTGTTGAATTATAATTACATCTAATAAATTTGAAAGTTAGAGCTATTAATGAATAAGCAATTCATTCCTACTACTTCTACTGAGGATTAGTAGCTTAAGTACCTATTAACACAGTCCATGATCCTCTAGATAAGTTCGTGCCATGCTTTCGCCACTTAGCTCTCTATGCGTCCGGCCATTTCCGAGGTAGGCGAAGCGAATTTTCTCAAGGTACTGAATCTCAAAGTCTTCCCATCTCGGAACCTCCAGTGTTTCCTTGTAGTGCCATATAGACCCGCACCAAGGACCCATAACTGCGCCGTTATCACTGCCGTTCTTGTACCTGATTATACAGGTATCAGTATAGATGTCTCACGGCCTTCAACGGTATCGCTCACTTACCAACTTACGCAAGACCCAGTCCATCCCATGCCCTGCATAATTTTATCTCTCTGTTCAAGAAAGTCATCTGTGGCTTCCCGCTTCACCTCTAAACTGCCAATATTCTGAGTCTGCAACTTCCTTACGCATGAGAATATATAGTCAACTGCCAGCTCTAGTCCCATAATGAGAGAAACATTGCTAATGGGCGCGTTAGGACCACCCACGACTGGGTGATTTGCCCCTGTTAGTTGCCATATCCAGTCAAAAGCAATTGTTTCAACTTACTGAAAAAGTTCAGAAACCCTAGTAATGCCACTGAGAGATAATGGATCGGGCCTTGATTCCAACAGTCCCTCAAGTCCTGGGCTCCACGTCCTGGAACAGGGAACGCAGGTCGGTGGGAAACGTCAAAGCCAGTCGCGCAGATAATGACTACAAGCACCTGTCTAGTAATTAATGCTTTTTTAACCCCTCTTCAATACCCCTCCAATCTGCATTCTATATCGAGACTTATAATTATAGCGCAATACTATTTAAATAAGCTCGATATATCATCCTTTCGCCTGGCGACTATCTTATCGGGCAATCTTCTAGATACATAATATCAAGTCCTTAATGTCACCCTCAGACAGCTCGATCCTTCTACCTGACTTGGACCTTTCTCAAGCATCAGTCTGTAGTCTGTAATACTTCTCGTGCCTGTCTGGCTATAGCTTGGTGTTTTGACTGTCTGGGCTGAATAAGATGGCAACAGCAGGAAGGACGCAGTTACTGAGATGGGTTAAAGATATATGTTGAAAGACATGTCTGAAGCACAGTGATGTAAGTTTTAAGATATTTCTATACATTAACTACTAATATTTCTTCGCTCCGCAACAGCCTCCAACAATTCGCCAAATCAACTACTTCCGGACAGTCTTTTAACAAAAAGCCCCATCGTCGCACAAACCCTTCGCTCACTTCCCATGAAGTTGCAAGCCATGGATGTCCCCAAACCAGAAAGTCGCATCGTTCTATGTCATTGAACCCCTCGTAAGCTCTCAGCCCCAAGTCAAGAAGAAGCTCATGGCTGTCGTATCTATCAGCCATAAGTATCAGGTTGTCAAGTAACTTTGGGAAAGGTAGTGCATTAACCCAGAGAGGAGGGGTTTTTGACCGCTGCAGGGACGTTGTTTGGAGATCCGAGGGAATGTGTTTCACTGCTATAATATCAATTTCAGACACGCCAAACGAACTACGACATCCTGGCGGCAGATGATGTAGTAGTGAAAGCAGGGACATATTGTGTAGTAAGGCACGAACAACGTTGTACTGGACTAGTGTGATAAGGCAGTGATCCGCGGAGAGTGGGAATACGATCGGGCTTGGTGGCTGAATCGCGCAAGAGAATGTCGAGTACTGCAACAGGGGCGGTATGAGTCTGTGAGTCTCACATTGAACTCGGACATTTACTTCTGGCCATTGAATTTCACATGCGAGGACTTTGGCCTCGGGATTTTGAAATGGATCTGTGATAGACCAGTCATGTGTGACATTTGTATGGCTGTACAAATGAACACTGACAAGCATACCATAGCCTTCTTGGTAGAGATGTTCGCAACGTGTGCTCGAAGTTTGAGATGTCTGTTTTCTGGCACCTAAAGATGTGTTAACTGAGGGTCTGGAAAATGAATAGAGGCGGTACGTCGATATCGTTTGTCCTAGATAAGGATACAGGCAAATACTTACGCCAGGCTCTCTGTCTCAAGCGGTTTTGTCTCTTCTTTCTCTCCACGGGATTTGTGACACCATGCCAATCGTCTTCGTTAGACGGCATTTTGGAGGAATCAAGCCGACAGTACTGGGTGATCGGGGTACCAGACATTCCGAGCCACGCTAAGGAATTGCGAGAAGGCGTTGAGTTGTTCCGAAACCCTTCTGGTGGTCAACGCTGGAGAGTAATCGGACTTGGGTCGTCCCGACTCATTTGCTTTAATGTATAATATAAGTGCAGTAATTATAATACTGTTCCCTCCCTTAATATAAGTAAAAGTCAGTATTATCTTAATTAATATATAGTATACCTTATGTACTAGTTAGAGGTATATTAAGCTTCTGAAAACAAATAAGTAAGTCATGAATTGTAGCGTTTCGCTCTGGAATCATCTCGCTGAGGCAGGACGTCACCAATCTCAAAGCGTTCTGCCGTGATATTTTAGCATCAAACTGTGTCGCCAGCATCCAACGTTCCGCAATATTGCCCTCGCCAGCCGCAAAAATTCCCCATAGGACTAGGCCAGACACGGCCCATAGGAGAAAGAAAAACCACATAAATGTCAGGGCAGCCAACTCAATTGCCTCATGGTGGGCCAGTTCCAATAGTTTTCCATATCTGGAACCCGTCATGCTGTCTAAGAAAAGCTGTAGTTACACAGAGTGGTTAGCTCACAGCTAAGAAGGTGGTAGTACTGCATTTAAAAAGAAAACCACAAAAAACCGAGAGAGGTAGGTGAGCTGCAGAAAGGCAAAGAGCCTCCTGAAAGGCACGGCACATGCGATTTGCGACATAAAGCCTGTATACTTACTGCGATCAAAGCGACAACGCCAACATCTGCTGCCACAAGTATAATAGAATCGGCACTTAGTCCAAGGACATCGTCTCCACTAAAGATATAGCGTGAAGTAAGGACAAGCATTGAGACAAAAGGAAGCACGATGAGAGTGAATCGGGCTAACCCTGGCAATCCCCAGTAAGCTCTGGCAACAAGACTTCGTCTGACCTTGGATGACTTAGACCAGTCGAGCTGTTCAGGCTCCGGAGACTGCTTGACAGGGATTGAGCGACGTGTTTCAAAGCGTGCGTGCCTCTTGTTATCACTCTCGAGGTATGCTGGACCTGTCGAACAGTACGAGGGAGGTCGGGCAGGATTTGTGTCCAGCTCCTCAAGTTCGTAAGGTGTCGACGCAGAGGCCATGCCCCGGTTCGCTTGGTCTCGGATCCGGCGGGAAGCGGCATGATCCTGACTTTCTCGAACATAATGGGTAGCGGAGCCATCTGTTCCGTCAAGACTTGTTGCAGGTTTCATGTTGCTGAGCATTCGTATCGAGGTTCGACAAGTCTAGGCTCTTTGACTATGAGAGAAGGCAGGGTCGCGGACATGCTCTTATTTGTTGACAAGCAGGTGCTTTAAAACCGGAAGTACGGATAGCAGTCGGCAATAGTCAGCCTAACGTTAATAAACATGCTTCGTGTTCCTTAATACGAGCAGCGGGCAGGGCATGTGGCTTTGGGAGCCACGTAATGGCTGGTCCTAAAGCTGCCATGAATAACTCGGATTCAGCCTTTTGCGACCCACAGCTGTGTTAATTGTCCTAACTTCGCTGGTCAGGTCCTGACACTAAGACAAAGCTCGGCAAGGTCGGATTCAGCCGTTGCCGAATTGCCGTCTACGGACGTGTACCAGGATCGAAACAGGTAAATCCAACACTTGACTTAGACTTATCTCTTTAAGTGGCCTAAGATTGCAGTAGAGCCACTACAGGGGTGAAGGTCCTATCAAAATCAGCGTAACTGAAGGTACATTCACACGCGCCTATTTTTGTGTGTAATAAAGTACTAGCAGTTTGCCGTGTTACAAATAGCTATTTCACATACTTTACAGCCATATCGGGCTTGCACCCTTCGTTCATTTCCCTTCCCTAAGAGACAGGAATTGCCATATAAATAATAACCAGGTCCTACCCGAATAACCATCCCCCGCAAGAGGCGCCTACTAGAACCCTCCACGCAGACTATCACTATCAGCATCAAACTCAACGTACAATACAGCAACGCCAGCCGGTATCGCAGAAGCTATCAACAGACTTAGAGGCTGTGGCTGCACTGTCGGACCTAATGCCATACATGGAAGCCCAAACAGAACAGTCGGCAACCGCCTCTACAACATTACATCATGCCGTTGCATTAAGTTTATGCAGTTATTTAATTGGCTTCTCTAAATGTTGCTATATATATATTGTTTAAAGTGTATTTCGTTCTTTTATTACTCTATCTTATTTCCGGGAGTTAAACCTTATTTTAAATTATAAATTATACCTATAAAATAAAAAAATAATAAAGGATAAAATAGGTTAAATATTAATAATAGCTAGTAGGGTTAGGATTAACCCTTATATTCAAAAAGAGTAAAAAATAAAGTTTAATATAATATCTCTTAATTATAGTAATATATTATAATAATTAAGGTTTTAAATAGGAAAATTAATTTATATTAAGTTTATATTTATAAAAACATAAGCTATATATATTAAACTTAACTTAAGTATTATATCTTTTAATAATTAAGTAATATATATTAAACTTATTAATATAAAGAAATCTTATTAATAGCTAGTAAGTTAAGTTTTACTTAATATTAAATAAATATATTTATATATACTTAAGTATAGCTATATAAAAGTTATATAAAATAAAGGTATTATTAATTTTAAAGTAATTTAATTTTAAATTACTATTAATTTTATAAGTACTAATCTTCCTTTAATTAATTATTTTAAAAAAGGTTATAAAGTATATATAATATAAATATAATAATTATAATATAATTTCCTCTTTTTATTAATTTTATCTTTAAGGCCTATTATTTAATTAATATTTTTCCTTTTTTACTAAATTTTAATTTAAACCTTTTATTATTATATTTTATAATATTTAATTATATATTTAAGTAGTTATATTATAAAGATTATAATATTTAAACTTTTATACTTACTATTAAATTTTTAAATAAAAAGGCTATTTTAGCTATAAGGTAAATATAAATTTAAATTTAATAAAAAATATATATAAATTAAAACTATATTAATAAAAACAGAAACTTAAATTTATTACCTTTAATAGATATAAGTTATTATTATTAAAAGTTAAAAAAAATAACTTTTAAAGTTATATATTAATTTATAATTATAAAGATATATTTTATTTTAATTTTAAGCTATAAAAACTAAATATTATAATATTATAATAAGTTTAAAATTTAATTAATTATATTTAATATTATTAAAAGTATAAAGTAATTAATAAGTTAATTACCTTAAGTTAATTTATATATTTTAATATATTTAGGTTTAAGTAAAGAAATATAATAAAAGTATAAGTAAAAAATAATAATTAAGTTAAAATAATTTATAAAGATAGTTAAGTTATAATAATAAATATAAATATATATTATATTAATATTATTATAATTTATTAATTTATAGTAATTATTAACTTATAGTAATATATATAATTAAATTAACATTAAGGTTTAAGCTATAATAAGTATAAAAGTAAGTATATTAATAAATATAATTAATAATTAATAATAATTAAAATAAAGTAATTAATAATTAATTTATTAGTATTTAATAATTATAAGCTAATAGTATTAATTATAAATAATATAAAGCTATTTATAAAACTATTTAAGTTTTTATTTATTATTTATAAAGTATATTAATATATATATATATTAAAAAGAAAGTAAAGTAGTAATTAAAGAGGTATTATAAGTTAATTTTAATAAAAAAAAGAAATAATATTATTATAATAATTTAATATAATTTTAATATTATTTAAAAGTAAAGTAATTTAATAATATAGCTATTATTATTATTAATAATTAACTTTATATTATATATTTATTTATTAAATTAAAAGCTTAAATAAAGTAAAAAAGGGTATTTATATATAATTAATATAAAATAAAGTATATAAAAATATTATTAATAAAAATATAAATAAATTAATCTTTATAAAAAGGAAAGAAATACCTAAAAGCAGGCTATAAAGATATAATAAATATTATAATATATTAAAGTTTAATATTAATAGTTATTTAGTAATTAGCTAGGCAGTAATTAATTTAAAGTTAGGTTTAATAAATAAGCTAATTAAATAATACTTAAAAAAATAGCTATTATTAATTAAATAAATTAAATAATAAAGTAATAATAATATTAATTTAAAATAAAAAATAAAAAAAAATTAAAATAATTAATATAAAAATAAATATTAATATATAATTAAAGTATATTATATTATAACTTATTTATATTAAGAAATTATTAATTATACTAGCTAGTTAGGGTTAGGTTTTTAGGAATTTAGCCTTAATATTACTTACTTATAGGCTTAGGCTTATTAATAGCAGCTATATATAATAGATTAAATAGTAGCTAGCTAGCTAGCTATAAGAGATTTAATTTACTATAGGCCTATAAATAATATTTAATTAATAGTAGTTACTATTATTTTTTTTTTTTTTTTTTTCCCTTATTATTAGCCTAATAAGGCTATTAAGCTTCTAACTTTCTATCTAAAGGCTTAAATAATAAGGCCCCTATAGTAGGCCTATATCTTAAAGGTTAAAATTATATAAGGTTTATCTGCCTTAATAGCGTAATTACTGCCTTAATTAAGCAGTATTAATACTGCCTATAGGTTTACCCTTTAGTAGCTATATTAGCCTTCTTCCTTTACCCTACCTAAAAGATCTTAAATTGACCTTTTTAACTAGGCTAAGTCTATTATAAAGTATATTCCCTGACCTAAATACCTATTAATTACAGTTACTAATATCGATTATAGCCACCATTATGATACCTATATGCAACAGCCTGCAGGCCAATTAGGCCTATTATATAACTAACTATAACTTTATTAATATAATTAAATTAGTGCTAGCAGAAGCTGCAGGCTATAAATGCTATAAGCTTTATATAATAACTATAGCCATTAAGAAGAACTTCTTATTAAGGAACCAGTCTAGCCTAATTAAGATAGCTATTTTTAATTATACCTTAATTAATATAATTAGTTATATAGATCTAGATATCCTAGGT